TACCAGACAACAAAACTGCCACAGCTTGATCCTTGATTTCCAGCCTCCAGAACTGTGAGGGGGGGGAAAGAACCCTGTCTCTTGTAAGCCACCCAGTCTAGGGTGTTAAAACAGCCCAAACCAACTAAGAGTTACTGGAGTTTCTATTAACTTGCAGATAAATACATCCGAATAAATACAGTTTTTAAATTGTATTTTATGTATCTTTTCTAGAATAAATGATCAATCAGAATGACGTTCTGAGAATCAATGTTATCTGAGAATTAACAGTGGCATAGACAGGAAGGTCTGGAGAGAGAGGAGTATGTTATATATTCCCTGAGAAGTGTTTGAGGCCACCCAGGTAGGTGGTGAAAGGTTGGGGAAGGCCAGGCACCTTGCTTCACACCTATAATCTCAGCACTTTGGGAGGCTGAAGCAGGAGGATTGCTTGAGCCCAGGAACTTGAGACCACACAGGGCAACAGAGCGAGAGACTATCTCTACAAAAAAGTTGGCTGGACGTGGTGTGCACAACTGTGGTCCCAGTTACAGAAGAGGCTGAGGCAGGAGGATCACCTGAGCCCAGGGGGACAAAGCTGCGGTGAACCGTGATCGTGCCACTGCACTCCAGCCTGGGTGACAGGATGAGACCCAGACACACACACACACACACACACACACACACACACAAAGAAGAAGGAGTTGGGGTAGGTTTCTTGAGGTGTAAGCAATTTTGGTAGAAATGGAGAGCTCTTGGAGCTCTCAGGTGACAGGAGGGGTTCTGAAATAGAGAAAGAAAAATGCAGTGGGTACAGACTCAGACGGAGCTGGTGTCAGATGAACGAAAATAGAATGGGATGTTTCCACATGCGGTGGAAAGGCCCTGAGTGATCAGAGCATGCAGGTGGGTTCAAGGGATGTGGGGGCAGCGTGAGATCAAGAGGCAGAGGGGACAGGCAGACAGGAACCTGCCCAGCTGCAACTTAGGGGTATCTGGATGGATCTGTGGCCAGCAGGCTGGATAGACCACGGGGGAGGCAGCTGGGAGCCGCAGTCTAAAGCGAGGTTTTGCATCTTTTTTTTTTTTGAGTTGGAATCTCACTCCGTTGCCCAGGCTGGAGCACAGGAGCCCGCTCACAGACACCCCAACCTTGACCTGCTGGGCTCCGGTGATCCTTCCGCCTCGGCCTCTCAAGTAGCTAGAACTACAGGCGCACACTACCATGCCCAGCTAAGATCTTTTTCTGTTTGTTTGTTTGTTTGAGCCTGAGTCTCACTCTCACCCAGGTTGGAGTGCAGTGGCACGCTCATGGTCATCACAGCCTTGACCTGCTGGGCTTAGGCAATCCTTCCACCTCAGCCTTCCAAATAGCTGGAACTACAGGCACATGCCACCAAACCCAGCTAATAGACCTTTTTAACTAAATACAGAATTATATTTTTGCTAGTTTCTTTTTTTTTTCCTTTTCCTCTTTCTTTTCTTTTGTTTCTTGAGTCAGGGTCTCACTCTGTCGCTCACGCTGGAATGCAGTGGCACACTCACTGCATTCCAGCGTGAATGCAGTGTCGACCTGCTGGGTTCTGGCAATCCTTCTGCCTCAGCCTCCCAAATTGTCTGAACTATAGGAGCACACTACCACAGCCAGCTTTTTTATAATTATTATTGTAGAGACGAGGTCTTGCCAAGTTGCCCAGGCCAGTCTCGAACCCGCGGGCTCAGTCCACTCGCCTCAGCCTCCCAAAGTGCTGGGATGACAGGCTGAGCCACTGAGCCCAGCCGCTTTGCGTCTTCTTACTGTCGCCCGCATGGTCTAGTCACAGCACAGGTGGATCATGGCCAAGGCAAGAGTCACAAGATTTCACCCGGTTGTATCATTCAAGCAAAAGCCGCTGGGGCAAGGATAGTGAAGAGACACCTGTTTTCAGAGGAGGAATCGCCAGCCTCCCAGTCCTCAACGGATGTCATCCAAAAGTCACTGTGACAAATACCTGACACTAGCATCACTTGGGTACCAATACCTGTTTAACTCACAATTGTATGCACTAACCAGTGAACAATCTATCTAATGGTCCAGCAATGTTGAAGGTAGGTCTGAGGAAGGACTGGTGAGGACCCTACAGGCCAGCTTAAGGATGAATCTAGAAAACACTGATCATACTTCGAGCTAATGTGCATTTTTTTTTATTGAGTGGGAGTCTCACTCCATCACCCGGGCTGGAGTGCAGCAGCACACTTGCGGCCACCCCAGCGTCAACCTGCTGGGCTCAGGCGATCCTTCTGTCTCAGCCTCCCAAGTAACTGGAACTATAGGCATATGCTACCACACCTGGCTAATTTTTTTTTCAATTTATTGTAGAGATGAAGTCTTGCCAAGTTGCCCAGGCTGTTCTTTTTTTTTTGAGTTGGAGTCTCACTCTGTCGCCCAGACTGGAGTGCAGTGGCCATTCCCGGTCACCGCAGCCTCGACCTGCTGGGC